CAAACTAACATAACCAATATACAAATCAATAAAATCCAGAATTAAGTTATATGCAACGGGACATCAAACCTTGTAACAGCATGCAATTCTGGATGATGTTAACATTCTTTGTCATATATTTTAGGGTTTTTTTAACATAAACCACCTATAAATAGGGTGATTATAAGAAAACCAACTTCAAAGAGCAATTAATACCGAAACAACCTTTAAAAGGGGTACATATTGCAATCAACCCCTTTGACCTATTTTCTGATAATTCAATTGAAATTTCCAAAATACCCTTAAACCCCATGTGTCAGGCACATGACATGTCTTCTTAACCAAACCTAGTGCAGTCGCATGGGTGTTTTTAAGTGTATTTTTGGATTTTCAATCAAAATTCATCATAAAATAGGTTAAGATGTGTGATTGCATTCGTAACCCTCTTCAAAGGCAGTTTTTTGTATTTATTAAACTTTGAAGGTGGTTTTCGTATAATCACCCTATTCTAAACGTGGTTTCCATGAAAACCCCTATATTTTAATAGCTCTAACTAATTATGATAATAGGTTATCATTATGACAAAACAAAAGGGGGTAAATTTCACAAAGCACACCTAAACTTTAGGTGGTTTTCAACATAACCCCCTAAACTATATAAACTAGAAAAAAAACCCCAGAACTTTTAAAATTATACAAGACTACCATAAACTATTGAAAATAGTCATAATCGACGTTAATGTGTAGAATAAAAAGATTAAACAATCATTCAAAACAAGAAAGGAGGACAGAGTAATCTAAAAGTTATATTAAGCACACATCGATAAAATTGTCTAAAACATGTCACATGGGAACAGAGTCCGACCGACCTTATTAGAGAAAGTGGTGTCACATGACACAACTTTCCTCCAAGTGATTCCTTATATAGTAAAGACCACGTGAGTTGAAGTTATTAGATTGTGACTATGTATTTGATCGTTTTACACATGATGTATTATTTGATAGGGCTACTAATGATGTGACTATGTTTTTTTAAAATATGAGAACCCGTTGGGCACCGTTATAACTTTTTTTATCATTAATTACGGGGTGATACCACTTTTCATGCACAGGAACACACGACAACTTAAGCTAATTGCCACAATCATGGTTCAAGGGTTTCCTCTGATTTATAAACTTCTGGAGGGTTTTTGATGAAATACCCCCAAAGTTTGGGGGACTGAAAATACCCAAAAAATACTGAGGAGAACACAAAGGTGGAATATACAATAAAGCAGCTAAAACTACTTTGATCCAGCTAAGAGAACATAACGAACCTTCTCCAGACTTGCAGTAAATCTCCAGATACCTCCACCAGATACTTTGCCCCGAAGTGACACTGTGACAAGCTTTGTTCTGCTGCGCGATATCCTCTCAGATGCTGTTGATGTAGATGATATGATATACAATACCCAAATAATAGTAAGGAGAATTCAAAGGAAGAATATACAATAAAGCGGCCAAAACTACTTTGATTTAGCTAAGGGAACATAACTAACCTTTCTTCAGAGTTGCAGTAAATCTCTAGATACCTCCACCAGATACTTTGCCCAGAAGCGACACGCTTTGTTATGCTGCACAATATCCTCTTAGCTGTTGATGTAGATCACATGATATAACTGTATGATGAAATTAACTGCAAAAATAATCCCATTATACAAAATGAGGTCCCTGAATCCGGCGATGAGCCTTCTATGAATCCCAGTTCAGGATGTATCTCCAGGTCTAGTGCTAGCGAGCTTGGTTGGGCAGCAACGAACGACAAAAGTAAAGCTAGGAACCCATGTTGTAGATCATAACCAACCATCTACAGCACAAAGTTTAAATCTTAAGGAAATAACGCATTATAGCAGCTAATATTAGCTAGCATCTCTTATATCGGTACTGCGCGCTCTTATACCCATTATCTTTCAGCATATCAGCAAAATAAATCTAGAGAAGCACAAAAAGAACAATTTTCCGTGACAGTAAGTTTGAAGAAACATGTCAAGCAACTTTGTTGATGGAAATAGGTTGCTGCAAATGCCTTTACTTTTATCAAGTTTCTTCCAGGTCTTTTACTTTAACACCATCATCTAAACATTTTCATAGCCAAGGCATAATGAAAAGGGCAGACTCATGCCATAAAAGCTCAATTCTAGGTTCCAAGTATGAAACCAGTGTGAACTTGACCGCTAGCATATCATCATCAACTAAATTCTATTTGACTTAACCTCAAGTTTTGCTATTGCATCAGATAGTTATCTTCTGCCTTTGTCACATTATTTTTGCTCACACCTTTAAATGTACAACTAAAATCCGTTTTGCTATAAAATCTTTTCTTACATAGAGTCATTATGTTATATATGTTATGTGTAGATATGCATGAAATATAAATTTTCTATTCACATTCCTTTTATTTTTGCTCAAACGAGATGATGAAAAAGTATCAACCCGATTTGAATGATCCTGTATTAAGAGCTAAATTGGGTAAAGGGATGAGGCATAATTATTATGGAGAACCCGCATGGCCAAATCATCTTTCATATATTTTTCCAGTAGTAATTCTAGGTACTATCGCATGTAATGTAGGCTTAGCAGCTCTAGAACCATCCACGATGGGTGAACCGGCAGATCCATTTGCAAGCTTGGCCACTGAAATTCAGTTTTCAGTGGGAATACATGCATTTATAAGTTGTATAATCACTTTTTTTTACCGAGAAGAGAAAAGATTGTAATCAACCTGTTGCTTTTCCTGTTTCCTAGAAGTTCTGCTTGATTGTTGCCTAAACAAGCTGCAAAATAAAACTTGGCTTGCAAACAGGTACATAAGTTGAGTAAAATCAAAGTTATCATCTTTGGAATCGTTTGCAGTGGGATTGTATAGGTGAAGAAATCCAAATAACACAGATGGTGGCTGCAACATAAATTTCGTTACCATTATGTATTATGAAAACAGGCAGCTAGCAAGCTTGTGTTGTAACTTCAGAGCAACTTAACCAAAAATGAGGCATGGAGTATCAATACAATACATACCTACTGAAATAAAATGAGGTATAGGATTCAAAATCAAGAGAAGAAGATCTACATTCGGATTGAGTTGGACACGTTAAAGAGGCAGTCAAGCAATTGAGATAAATACATATACAACCAAAAACCATAAATTGGTATACTAATGCTCAAATGACAAAATAGGACTTTATTTTCCTCCAAATGAACGATCAACACTTATACGGAAAATCAGTAAATAACAATATTCTTAAAACTCTGAAAAATTGTTTAGAAGAAGGAATCATGATATCCTTATAAGTTATAACCATCTCATTTTTCAAAATCATGATACCCTTATAACCATCTTATTCTTCTTCCCTGCAGACAACAACAACACTTTCCCATCAACAATATCATCCACATCAATCATCTTGTCATCATTATCAATCCTTCTATTGTTCAAATAAAGCCCCCCTTGTTTCAGTAATCGTCTCGCTGCAGACTTGCTATTGAGCAAACCAGTAGAAACCGAAAGATCAACCAAACAAGAATTCAACACCTGGTCATAAGCCAAAGAACATGACGGAACATCCTCAGTTACCCCTTCAATTGTTTCCCAATCCAACTTGGTGTCTGCTCCTGGTCTCAGAGCTTCAGTTGCCTTCAATGCCTCAACTAAACCCTCTTCTCCATGAACAAAACGGGTCACTTCTTCTGCTAGCTTTCTCTGCACTGTATTTGGAACATAACCAGGCTTCTTCATTCCCTCTTCCAACTCTGTAATCTCCTCCATACGCAAAAAAGTTAAAATCTTCAAGAACCTAATAACATCTACATCGGGCACCGAGAAGAAGTACTGATAGAACTTATAAGGCGACAGCGTCGCGGGTGATAACCAAATAGCTCCTCCTTCAGATTTCCCAAACTTTGTGCCATCACTCTTCAACAAAAGGGGGAAGGTCAATCCATAAGCTCCTTCAACCTGCAATACCTTTCGAATCAATTCAGTCCCAGCGGTTATATTCCCCCATTGATCACTTCCCCCAATCTGAACATTTACTCCGTGATTCTTGAACAAGTAGAGGAAATCATAGCCTTGCAGCAATTGGTAAGTGAATTCAGTGTAGCTCATTCCCTCTTCCGAGCTCAATCTCTTCTTCACGCTCTCTTTCGCCATCATAGTCCCAACCCTAGCGAACCTCCCAACCTCTTTGAGGAAATCCAACAACGTGACCCCTTTCCACCAATCGTAGTTGTCCAAAATCACAACCGAATCGCTCTCATTTTCAGAACCCACGTCCAAAATCGCATCTTTAGCAAAACCCTCAGCTGAATTTCCTAATATTTTAGAGATTAGCTGCTTAATCGCTCTACTGTTATTTTCTAGGGTTTCTATATCTAATTCCGGTCGCTCGAGGCTTTTTCCAGAGGGATCACCGACGCGACCGGTGGCGCCACCGATGACGGCGACGGGGGTGTGGCCGTGACGTCGGAACCAGGAGAGGACGATGAGGCCGAGGAGGTTACCTAGGTGGAGGCTCTCGGCCGTCGGGTCGAAGCCACAGTAGACTTTGAGATTCGTGCCGGAGGACGACGCTGACCTGAGGTTTTCGTTTGTGATGGATTCGATGAGTCCCCGCTGTTCGAGGACGGAGATGACGTCGGCGGCGACGGAGGAGGACGAGGAGGCGCGGCAGGGGAGGCGACGTGGCAATTGGAAGGTTCTAGAAGGTCGTAGGAGCTTCGGGAGTGAGGGGAGGAAGGTTCTAGAAGCTGCCGACGCCGCCATCCGCCATTGTCGAAAGGGGAGTGAGTTTGTGAGGATGGAGATGAGGAAGGGATGGAGACCCGTACGAATTTTGAGAAAGTACAATCTGGTTTAAGTTTATTAGTTTTTTTTGCATATAAACCCTTTACCTTTTGTATATTATCATGGCAGTATAATACTATTATACTTGTTATTTATCGTTTCTTCTTCTTTTTTTTATCTACCTTTCGCTGTTTTTCTTTTCCTGATCTTATTTCTAACAATCCACCCGCGATCTTAGTTGATTTTCCCTCTACAGAATCTAACTAAATTGGATTCAAAAATTAGATTTTTAATCAGAATCCGACGTCAAGATCGGTTCTTTTTTTGGCAAACCGTAGCCAAGTCGTCATTCTTATAAACACCCTCTAGGGAAATTCTCATCTCTTTCGTCCCAAAACATGATACTTGGTGCGGGATCGCTACGGCGTGATTTTAACAGTATTTTGAGTTTAAGTTTGAGCAAATCCAAGCTCTAGATAAACTGGTAAGTTCAGAAACTTGACAAGCATATCATGTGTTTGATGAAATGCTACGAATAATGAATTTTCGTTGTTTGTAGTTTTGATGTATATGGTGTATTGAACACACTCTTTTGTTTTGATAGTGATGTCAATTATCCATGTTAGACGTATTTTGGGTGATTGAAAAGCAAAAAAGGAGGGACTCCATCTTAGCTTGATTCTTATGCTGCCGCGGTTCAAATCTTTTCTCGTTCCTAATGGTTTAAAATTTGCCTTATATATAGGTTGATGTGCTCATTGACGGCAAACAAGACGTAATGATGATTAAACACATTATTGGAACTAGGAAGTTGAGAAATGGAATCATAAACGGGCTTAATGAGATATCACTTGCTTGTCCTCCGAGAGTAAAAGATGGAATCTTTCAAAATTGGCTGGCCTGGTCTTCACAAAAGCGGTGGATGACCAAGAGTAAACGAGTGCAAGACAGAAGCCAGAATAAGAGAGTGCACGACCTTGAAATTGCTACAGAACGATGGAAAGTGATATCGAAGGTGTTAGTTATAATGGAAGTTCTTAGGAAAGAACCGGAACAAATCATACCCTTGAGACGGTTGGAACAATACAAGCAACAGATTAATCTTAGCAAGCCTCACAAGGTTTCTGACTTCATTAAGAAATCTCCAAAGCTTTTCGAGCTCTACAGAGACAAGAAAGGAGTTATATGGTGTGGGCTGACAGAGAAGGCTGAAGAGCTCGTCAAAGAAGAGAATAGGCTCCTTGAAGCTCATACAAACAAAGCAGTTGAATATGTCACAAGGTTATTGATGATGTCAGTGGATAAGAGGCTTCCAATGGACAAAGTTGCCCATTTTAGAAGAGACATCGGCTTTCCATTTGATTTCAGAACTAGATGGGTTCATATGTTCCCCGAATATTTTAGGGTTGTTAAAAGGGATGATGTTGAGTTCTTGGAGCTTACTTCTTGGAATTCTTCTTGGGCTGTGACTGAAATAGAGAAGAGAGCTATGATGGGGATTAATTATGTGTCTGAGTCTCATTCACCGGGAATTCTTTCCCTTCCTTTTCCGATGAAATTTCCTCCTAATTTCAAGAAAATATTCAGAATTGGTGGAAAAATCGAACATTTTCAGAAGAGATCATATCTGTCTCCATATGCTGATTCTAGAGAGCTCGCTCCTGGTTCGCAAGAATTTGATAAGCGGGCAGTTGCAGTTATGCATGAGATATTGAGCTTTACCATTGAAAAGAGGCTTGTTACAGATCATCTCACACATTTTCGTCGGGAGTTTGTTATGCCTCAGAAGCTGATGAGAATACTGCTAAAGCACTATGGCATTTTCTACGTTTCTGAAAGGGGAAAGAGGTTCAGTGCATTTTTGACGGAAGCATATGAAGGTTCGGAGTTGATTGATAAGTCTCCTTTATATCTTTGGAAGGAAAAGATCTTGCGTCTCACTGGTTATAGAGGAAGGAGGAAAAGAATTGAGAGTTACAATGGTAGTTCTGATGATGAGGAAGATAAACTTTTCGACAATAATCATGATACTAAACCATCTTTCTTAAAAGTCAAGGATGAAGAAGATGTTGATACACTTGAGGATGCTTCCCTTGCAGAGGATTCTGAGATGGATATTGGAGATGTGTTTGAGGAATACAAGGATACTTGATGCCATTTAAGGTTAGTTATTTCCTTGATGGTGAATTTCTTGATAATTTTCTGATATTTCAGCATCTTATTTATTATCCACTGCATATCATGCATAGCAACTTTTAGTATTTTCTTGTTACTCTAATTTGCCAAAGAACATTGAGGGAAGAATGTATAAAACATAATAGTCTCAGGAATTCCAGAAACTATCACTTGCGGGATTTTCGGTTTCGTAATTAGGAATCACTGGATTCCTGGTCAGTGTTCACGTGCAAATTCTTGTTACTCTAACTTATATATAAATAATGTTGTTGTATAAAACAAACTGCACATGTAAGCAAAGTCCGTGTGCATAGTTCTTTTGGGTGCCAAATAATAGTCATAGAATGTACCAACTTATTCCACCAAGTGAAGCAATCCATCAGATTACAGACCAGTGGTTTCTTAAAAATCTATTTGACCATTAATCTTACAAACAATTAAGCTTACTTGCAATCTGAAATTAACTTCAAGGCTAGCCTTCGGTCATAAAATTAGGTTTTCACATCCATTTTGTGTTTCAGGTTGCTGAAGCTGAGCAGAAAACCGCTGGAGGTTTGCTTTTAACCGAAGCTGCCAAGGAAAAACCCTCCATTGGAACGGTAAGATTGCCTTTCCTTCTCCTTCAACCACGACGATGCTATAACTTTGGAGTTCAAAAACTTATGTGGAAAATCCAGGAAGAGCCCAGTTCCAGTTGCCCTGGTATTCATTGTCACAAGCGTTAATTTGTTAATAGGCCCCCTTGAGTTCTTTTGTTGTGGATAGACTCCGTGTACTCTCCCCCAATTTGCAGATAGATCCCTCAAGGGAAATGTTTTGGACTCTTTTACCCTCAGGATCTATTTTTAAAAAATGAATTTTGTCTCTGAGGGTGAAAAGGGGAGAGAATTCCATTCATGGGTCTATCTGCAACAATTTCACTACATGGGGTTCTGTATGCAACCAGGCAATAGTACAGGTGTGTATTTGCACTTAGTCGTTTCCAAAACCTGGTGTCTTCAGGTAAGGAAAAGCGTATAAATGCAAGTGACACATTTGATAGATGATGATTGATTCTTTTTTATTCTTTGCTGTTTTGGTATAAATGCAAGGGACACGTTTGATATGATGATTGATTCTTTTTTATATTTTGCTGTTTTGAATCAGGTTGTTGCGGTTGGACCTGGAACATTGGATGAGGAGGGCAACAGAAAACCGCTAACCATCACAGCAGGCAGCACTGTTCTCTACTCCAACTATGCGGGGAACGAGTTCAACAGCGCTGATGGTTCCGGCTACATTGCCCTTAGAGCTTCGGATGTCATGGCTGTTCTCTCCTAGAAGGCTAGAACTACATAGCACTGCTTTAGCAAACAATGTAGTTTTGTTTTGGAGAATGCATGAACTCTTGAACATTTTGCGTTTAGTGCAGAGGCAATAAGAGGCCATTGCAGCTTTTTGTAGTTTGGTTCAGTGATGGTGCGTTATCTAATATATTTCAGTTTTGAGCGGTCATTACTTTTCTGCAGCTCGAGTCTCAGCATAATGTAGCCTGAAGTAGTTTAGGTTCTCAGCTGTTTTGTGTCACTTTTCGGGTTTCAGAATTCGTAAAAACTTTTCATCTTGGTTTGAAGGTTTCTGCACTAAACGTCTATGGTTTTGTGTGGGAACGTCGGTGAGCGAAAAATCACTCATATCTACCTTAGACATTGTTGGGTTTGTGGCTTCTATCTCAAGCAAGTTTGTTAAAGAGTCTTTTTGCCAGTTAAATACAGGACAAAAGGTAATTCATTGCACATAGTTCTTATGAAACTGTGTGACACTTCAATCCCATAAGGAAAAATAGTTCCAAGCTGTAATTAACTCTTAATTTATTTAAACTGAATATGACTGGAAGATTGAGCAGATGCTGATGAAACATAGACTGGCGAAGAAACTACCAAGGCCAAAGAAACACATATACATGTTGAGAACCCAACATAGACTAGCGAAGAAGCTACTCAGCCAAAAAATCACATACTTATAAAAAAATCACATACAAATATTGAGAACCGAGCTTGATGAACAATGCTCGAGTAAACCAGAAAACACTCCTTTTATATATGTTGAGAGCCCAACTTGATGAACAATGCTCGCGTAAACCAGAAAACATTCCCTTTATAACAAAAACTTAGAACTCCTCAGCATCAATACTCTCTCCTGTGTTAGTAGAGCCTACAGTTACATAATGATATACTTTCACCTAAAGGGTTTTATATTTAGCACTATCTGATTTCTGTGGTTACAACAAAACATATTGAATACAGTGATTCAGACCTCTCCCCGAAACCTCTATTTCATTCACCAATGAAATGATGCAGCTGTTGAACCTCTGCTGCTGACAGTATCTTGATGCTCTGAACACAGGTCACAAACTCCCTACGCGCACATAATACAGGACAAATATAATGAACATCAGAAATAAAAAACTATATAAAATTCATTAAATTTGGATGTGAACTTACTCCCAAGGGTCATCTCCAACCAACAGAATATCGTTCTCATGATCAACGTACACTAGTTTCCAATCGGTTCTATGAGGGTCTTCGAGTTGCCCTTCAATTCCAAACATGCGAGCTAGGTCTTGACGTAGGTCATCATAGCCTCTGTAACGGGTGACATCGATGGATCTTCCAACAGATCCACGCTTTTGAACCTATGAAATGCAAAGAAAGATTCAACCTTTGTAATCATAACCTGCCATTTATCTAACATTTACATGCACAAATATATCCATAGTCTTGCAACGAGCTCAGAAGAAACCTCATGTCAGCTAGGGTTTTGTTTTTATTCTTGGGTCAATTGTACATAGTATCGTTCGGGCTGCAATTCTTTTTACTTTTTTACCCTTGAGAAAGAGTAAATTGTTTTCTCACAAATAGACACCTGAGAGTAAAAGAGTGACCACATTTTCACTAAGGGGTTCTTTCTGCAAAAATAAAACTAGAGAGGTAGTACGTTCAGAAGATCAATTCTGTAGGTGGTTTTTCTTTCTTTTCCTCTTGAATAGTTAGCACAGTATTATTAGGTGATCTAACCACATATCTAGCTTTAAACTCATCATTCTTTTAATATCAATGTAAAAATGCTCGTCTGGTGAGGAATCAATAATGCTTAATACAAATATATCGTTCAACATGTGCCATACCTTAGTATATGTCCTCATCCGCTGCGGTTGGTTACCCCAAATCCCTCGACTCAAAATCCCATTCTCATTAATACCAGCATCATTCGAACACCCAGGCCTAAATGTCATATCAGCAACCCCAAAAGATTGAGAACTAATCGCAGCAGTAGAAATCTCAGTGTCAACCTCCCTTTGATTTCCAAAACTAGATCCAAATCCCCTTGACATCATCACGTCAGGCAACAAACCATCGTTATTACTAACTCCGCCAATTTGAACATCATTATCTAAAGAAACAGGAGGAAAGGGAAAGCAGTCATTTGCACTGCCATCCAAACAAAAAGAGGTTGCAGATGAAGCATCCAATTGATCAGACTCTCTTCTTTCGTGATGTTTAAGTCTCGATTCTGGTTTGGTTCGGATTTCTTGAAGAAGACTGTCCATTGGGGGAAGGGCTTCTTCTTCCTGAATTCGAGGAGAAACTGATGTTGAGCATGAAGGGGCATCGGGTTCTGTGATATTTGAATGAGCTCGAGCTAGTATCTGAGATTTCTGATGACACATTAAGTTATTTGCTGGAATTTGATTACATATTTGAGACTGTGTTTGAGGAATGAATTCAGAGGGAGGCTGTTGCTGTTGTAGCCTCTGAAGTAATTGCAATTGAAGCTGCTGCTGCTGCTGCTGAAATTGAAAAACTTGAGGCGATACTTGTTGAGATGATGGTTGTTGAAGTTGATTTCCAGGTTTTGAAAGCACAGGCATTTGCAAGTTCTGATTTTGTAACTGGTTCAGAGATGGAATTTGATTATTGGAAGGTTTTGGTTGCTTAAGTTCCATCGATGCTTCACTAAGAGCTCTCTGTAAATGCTGCTGCTGCTGCTGTTGTTGCAGTAAATGAACAGAGTTTTGTTGTTGTTGATGATGATGTGGATTTTGCTGCTGCTGCTGTTGATTCCAGGAAATGGGTAATTGCTGAAACTGATCCGATTGTTGAATTTGTTGTTTTGGAGGGAACTGGAGGCTTGGGACAAGGGAGGAATGGGATTGAAAATTTAGGATTTTGGATGTGCTATCATTACTGAGACTATCTTGGGAAATAGAAGGGATAAATGAGGGTTGAGACGTTGAGGGGATTAGCTGAGGGTTTTGTTGCATAGCCATCCATTGAACAAGGCTTAGGCCTGGAAAGACTGAGCTTTGAGGGCTTTTCATGCTGAAATCATCGTTTAGCCATGGCATTGCCCTTTTAAATGCATTCTCAACATCAGAGTCATCATCTGCAAACTCACACAGCTCGGTACTAAGTTATGATGTTGAAATTAAGAACTTGTGATATAAGGATATAGAAATGTTATTATGTGTAGTAATATTTGTACGAAAACTTGAAAGGAACTCTTAAAGAGTGAACGTACGGAGGATGCTTAATAGAACAGTCCTTTGGAATAAAGATTGTTTGCATAGAAAATAATCAATGTTATTTAAAAAAACAGATGCACCAAGAAGGAAATTAGATACTGCATAATCCCTTCTTTTAAAAGAAATAAAGACAAAAAAAAGATAGTGCTTAATCCTTTAATAGACCTTAGGAAAAATATACGACACCAATATTGTAACTCAATATTATGAATTTCAAATATTCTAAATAAGCACATGGCAATTTTTCATTTGGATAAGAGCTTTCCATAGTAAAATCCTACCACATCTTTGCTAAGCTTACATTTTATTATCTACATACCATCCAAGTTTAGTTTATAGATAAGAACTTCTTAAACCAATTAAAAAACATCAAAACTCATAATTCAATTCCTTAGGTTATCTGACCTTACAAAAATCAAAATGCACATGCACTGTCCCTTCACTGGCTTACTAGCAGAAAACTGGTGTCATGTAACAAATTAAAACAAAATTCAACTAGTTTTTGCAGAACCTATTGAAAAGTTCAAATTCACAGTCCAATTTTTATTCTATCTGACCTGCAGAAATCAAATTGCACATGCCATGCCCGTTCACTTGTTTTTTAGCAGAAATTTGGAGCATATGAATATTACAGAAACAAAGGGCTATTTTTGGCAACTGCCAAAAGAAAACCCAGTTAAGCTATATCTCAAACAGAATTTTAAAATTATATAACTATTGTAATGGGAGGTCCATAGTGATAATTTCAAAATAAGTATACCTGGAATCCCTGGTTGTTTAGGGAACTTTGGTCTGAAAAAAGGAGGGGGGCATATATAAAAAGGAGTTGTCACAGGTTCAATCTCCCATAGTGATACTCTTGTTCTTCTTTCAGTAGCTGTCGATTCATCCCAGCCAACCTAATTAACATGAGGACCATGAGGACTATAAATGGTTCATCACAATGACTATACTTCAGATAATATTGCTTCTGAACTGAACTAAGTCTATAGTTAAAGCTGTAAGTTCTTATAGGGGAAATGTATCAGAGATATATTGAATGTTTTGGCATATCCTTCATCCCAGGTTTGTCGAGCTCTACAGATAAATAGGCACAAATTGAAGCTCCTCAAAAACTCCATTTTCTGATAAAGTTATCCTTTTTTCTTTTTTTCTTTTTTTTCATATTCTGGATGTGATTTATTCATGATTCTATGATGATAAGGAATAAAAAAGTACTAACGTCATATATGGACAGCATATTCTTTTTTCTTTTTTCCTTTTTTTCATAATCTGAATGTGGTTTACTCGTGATTCTATGGTGATAAGGAATGAAAAAGTACTAACGTCATAAATGGACAGCCATAACTTATATGCAAGTGTTGGAATATTATACTATGTTTCCATTATAATTCTAAGAACATTGTTTGTACAATGGTAAAAGCCACTATTATATCCATACCTGCAGATTACGCCACTGTGAATTTTTCCACCGAACATGATCCAAATCATTGATGCCAGTGATTGTTCCCATGTATCTACGTACTCCAGACTCCTCGGTCTCAAACATCATCCTGAATCTCATACCGAGAGAGACTTGGGTGTACATTGACTTGTTGTATTTGGCCAAAGGAACAACAAATTCTGATGGGCTTGTTCTATTTTAAAAACACAAGTACTTCAATAAGCTGAACTATAGCCAACAGTTTCATTGTGCATAATGCTTTTAAAGAAGGATTAACTGCAAATAGCACCCTTATACTATCGCCAAATTGAACTTACTACCCTTGTAGTTCTATTGTTGTAGATAGACCACCTGAGTGAAAGAAATTTGACCCTCGCCAGGGGGGTCTATCTGCTACAATAGATTTTCACTCAGGGGTCTACCTGCAACTAGGCTACTCGAACACGACATTTTTGGGTGTCATGTCCGTGTCTGACATGTGTCGGACACGGATTCTCCAAGGACACGCCATGGCCACGTGTGATTCAAGGCCAAACCCAATTTCCCCGTTACTTACACTCTAAACTAGCTTCTTTGGTAATATTGGGTTCAAAACCAATCAGTTCTCAAACCTGAAAACAGATACCCATTACTTAAGACATTTGAAAAATACCCATCATATTATATCATACGATCTTATCTAAACTGTGTCCCCGTATCCTACATTGTACAAATTTGTTGTGTTCCATGTCTGTGCCCGCACCCATATCCGTGTTACCTAGATCTACAATGATACAACTCTTTCCAAGAGCCTATCCCCAATTAACCCTTCAAAGAATACAAGTTCATACCTCGGGTTATAAAAGATAGTAAATGGGCTATTATTTGCAGCAGCATGAGCAGCGGCAGCAAGGATTCCTATATGCATGCTATCACTAGATAGCACCGATGATGCTAGAGCAGGCTGTTGTCTATTGGCACGCCTAATTCCCAAGAGAAGCTGTGATTTATCGTCTCTGATATAAAGAAAATGGTATCCTCTGTTAGATATACTTAAACATATACATTGAACAAATATTATCACCTGTATACATTAAAATACCGTATAAAGAGGACAGAATCTCCAGCAAAAAGTCTTTTGGTACTAACAAACACACTCCAACCTGTAGTCAGCAAATGCCTTTTCGGCTGACCTGCAAAGGCAAAAGATGCAGTTAAAAAAAGGAAATTTGCTCCCAAATATGTTTTATTATGATAAATAATAATTTAGTACCATTTCTTCAAAGCCTAGCACCTATTTTAATAAGGCTATCAATCCACGCTGCTTGAAAGGTTCAACATATACTTGAACACAGTCTAAAGAAGCATGTAATTAATTGACATTCAAGTAAAGGAGGGTGTTGTGCAGGCATGCAGACTGAATGTAAAAGTGTGCTATTTTAGATCTTTGGTTTGCAAATGACCCCCTTGGTCTTGAGCCATTTAGTCTATGCATTTTCAATTTAGAAGAATATCCCTTTGATTTCTTCATTTAGGTTATTGATGGTTGATATGTGCCTATAGTTTTGAGGCCTTCGTGTAATACCAATTTGAACTTTTCTATCAAAGACGGTACTTCTTTCCTATGGCTCGTTTTGTGAATAAGTTAAAAGTTGAATAATGTGCAAGTCCAAAATCATCCAAATCATTCCATGAAGAAGCATGAATGTAAAGAAAAAAGGAAAAAGACACGCACCTCGATAGATATGTCGAAATGTCCATGAAACATCATGCAAATCTTTTGCTACTAATTCTTGACAAGGCGGTTGCAATGTAAAATCCTAAGAAGCATGGTATCCTAGTAAGTCTCACATCAAATATGATATATAGCCTTTCTACTTCACGAGCAAAGATGATAAATGGTGAAATTGCAAATACCTCTCTCTCCCTCTATACCTAGTAGAACATATCACCCCTCAACTTTTTTAGTAGCACTTATTACCCCTCAAGGCTTATCTGAAATTTTTACTTCTCAAAATGCCAATCCAGGAGGGGTGAGCACTAATAATATAGTTGCCAGATGATAAGTTCTACTGAAAGGCATAGATGAGGAGGGTCCTCTGAAGTTTATTTATAAAGACAAATAAATAAAGAAAAATAAACATACTAAAGGAGGAAATATCTTTTCAGCTGCACGCCGAGGTACTGAAAATCCACCATGAGTACTCGTATCACTTGCTGTAAGTGTCTTGCAAAAGAATTCTGCAGGATGCTTGTTTTGCTTGAGACCCATTTCCGATGCTAGTAATCCCTCCTTATCATACTATACAAACATCATCAACAACATAATACAGAAATCCAAAAAAAATGCTTGTGCGCATTTATATTAATATTTATATAACTTATAAAGACAAAACAAACTAAAAATAATGTGATTTCTGACCTACTTTGTTAACAGGTTGAAGAGTCATTTGTGCATAAACCTCATCAGTTTCAGCATCAGCCTGATTGAAATAAGGTAGCATATCACATGAGTTTTAAAAAAAAAAAGCATAAAGGCATACTAAACTAACTTGTAACGTTTCGATCATACATGACGGGTAACACTGAGAAGAACACATATAAGCTTAGATGGCAACGAGGGATAACTTGGGATGCTATCAATCTCCTTATGCATTGAAGCTGCTACCTGAAATAGCAATAAGCAATACTATTAGATGCCAATGCTAGATAGCATGTGTGCAATAAATTGAGATAAAGAACTCACCTGTTCACTATGACCTTGAGGGAAATAGACCACAAGGCTGCCAACTGGAGGCAAAGACACAAGAGGTCCAGCACAAGCATGCCATAACTCTGAATTGATAGTTTTTCTCTCTCCTGCATCATCAACAAAGTATACTTTCTTCAATTCTTAGGTACTCTAACCCTCTTCTGCTATGCTATGATGAATTTATATGAAAATATGCATATGCCAAGCTCTTTTTTGGCTTTGCTTTGTCCTTCTGAGTTTAAATTTAGGTCTGAAGTGTCCTCAATTGCTGGCCTTATTCTAAAGACAGTTATAATCTATAACTCTTATGTCAATTTTATATTATCAACAAATTCCCCACCCTGTCACGCAAAAGCAAGGTAATTTTGTTTCCTTCTGGGAAGAAATAAAAGGAATTTTTTGCTCCTGAAAGCTCAAAGGTTCAATAAATATATGAACTTTGTTTAGGAAAAACGCGATGGAATTATAGTAACTTTTTTGAACAGAATAATTCCAACAAAACCATTCATAAATCAGCTAATATAACAAGTTAAAAATTATAATGTTACTAAAAACCTACTTAATATGAGCTAATATTACCATTACTTCCCAAATCATAAATTCGCTACAAATCCAACAAAATCCACTTCAAAAACCAGGTAAAATACCCTAAATCCAAACCCTTTTTTTTTATGGAGAAGAATAAATAAAAAAAATAAGTAAAAATTTTCTGCAAAAAAAACTCACCTTCTACTGAATTCGCAGAAATCCCATTTCCACTCTGAACCTTCATCTCCTCTCTAATCCAAAAAAATAGAAAAAAGAAAAAAAAAAAGCTTCTATCTTTCTTCTCCCTTCCCTTTAGCTATAGAAAGAAACCAATAAAAAAGCAACCTTTTTCTCTTTTCCCTTACTACGAAACTTTAACTCCAAGTCTCTTCCAACTCTCCTCCAAATTACCAAAATGCCTCGTCGCCGGAATACTCGACGGAGCTCGGCGGAGAGATGAACGGACAAGGCGCTTCCTTCGCTTCGTTTGCTTGCTCTCTTTGTGTTTGGTTGAAAGGGACGGGAGCAGGTTAAATTAAAAAGAGCTGCGAAGGATGGTTTTTAATTTAGTTTAGCTTAATTTAATTTAGTTTAAGGAAAAAGTTCTCTCTATATGACGAAAGTTTAATAAGTTATTAAATAGATCAGTAGTATGTTGGTAGCAATTTTTCTATAGCGTTTAAAATACGGACAATCAGGATTCATTATATGCGTGCATCTCCAACAATTATAGGAAAAAATAAGACTTTGAATAGATTAGAAACAAAGTTAATTTATTTTTGCTTTAAGGATTTTGCGTAGATAAAATGAAACAAAAACTTTTTACGGTCTTTTTCTCCTAAAAATCTATACTAAATTGATCATCGACTTTCATAACTAATTTGACTCTTCTTGATGTACACCGTTTACTTCAAAGTCTAAACAATAAAAAAAGCAAACAAATTAAAATATTCCATCTTCCAAGTTTATTGGAATAGTTTTCAACTAAAATCCTAGATGATAATTAATGAAATATGTTCATGGTGAAGTTAATCCCTGAGTAAGCGAAAGATATACCTTCAGGCTTCAGTAATATACGTCTCTGTATTGATGAAAATCAAGAATTCAACATGAAATAAACTAGAATTTTATATTCATATTATTATTATTATTATTATTATTATTATTATTATTATTATATTTTGCTGGAATTTAAATATGCATTTTGCTGCTGCACAATATATAATGAACTTGTGACTGGCCAATATTCGGGCGGTAAAACTGGACACGTCACATGCTTGGCACCATCAGACAAGGACAGCTCTAAGTTTATCATTCAACCCTAATTATGTCAATTTTTTACAAGAATGCCACAACAAGACTTAGTAGGTAAAATGGAAATCTTTCTTTGTTACGTACCTACTAAAGTAACAAGTAGTTAATGTAACACATTACATCACTATCGAAATAACACGTGCAGATGGAAGTAGTGATTATTATGAAGGAAAAGAATGAAATCAAACTAATGAGTGCTATTCAAATGATAAGGAAGAGCAATGCACACAATTTGGTTTTTATTAGCTTTTCGTCTAAATCAAACTAATGAGATACGAATCACTTGCGATGATCATGCAATAATAAAAAAATTCTCTGAGGCATGCACTAAACATACATGTCAAAATAGAATGGTTTAATGAGCGCTGCCTCATTAAGAAACTATTGATAAAAGTAAAAATGTATCTCGGATGTTAAAACGGATTTACTCTATCATATCTTAAACCATCAAATATCAGAGATTCTGAATAAAGTTATTTATTTTCTTTTTTTAAACTTAATGATGTCCATCACAACTTTATCTTGTCCTTAGTCAAGTAAGCATCAGTTTGTTTACTACATTATTATGGTTACAAAATTTACTATTACTTTTTTCCTAAAAAAATAATTACAAACTAAAAACATTAATAAAAAAAACTATTTCTTTATCAACAGTGAACCCTACAGTTCAGACACCAGTACTGATGCATGTACGAGCTACAGCCTGTCCTGAACCTCTAAAGCCTCTGAAACAGTCCAGCGCCGCAGAGATCTAAACACTAAACACCAAACAGCGTTTCTCACAACTTAGCTTCTCCCACGTAAGGCAAACGTCGTCACAGAACAAAACTGTTGTGTGCGAGGACAACAGAAGCCAAGCTGGATCCGCCTACGTGTCGTCCTCAGGCTTTGTCGGGCTCTGCCCCGACCCCTCCTGAACTCAGGGGCCGCCTCCAAATCCGCTCGTCGCTCGTGGGGGCAGTATCGTAATTAATGGTGATCTTTGAGGGGATTCCCCGTACACGAGTTGCGGCGGGCGGTCCTCCTTGAAACCCGCGGTCACCAATGGACGGTCACCCACTTTCTTTTCCTCTGAGTAATAATGGAATAGCTTTGCACCTTGGGAAACGGCACCCAGACTTTCACCCTCTTTTTTGATTTTGGTAGGGCCCGCAATTTATTTTTATGTATTGATTTCGTCGGCTAAATATCAGAAAACCCCCTCATCATTGGTCTATTAGGGGTAAACCCACATCACTTTGAAAATATTAAAAAGAAAACCCTTTCTATTTAGGGGTTATTAGAAAAATCTCTTTAACTTCGAGAATTTTATCAGAACGTCTCCTGCTTTTATGTGATTTTTTGTTTAAAATCTCGAAGTTAAAGGAGGATCGATGACACAATCTGAAAGTTAAAGAATGTTTTCTGATAATCCTTAAACTTAAAAAGGGGTTTTCATGATGCTTTTAAGGTTATGGATAATCATTCGAAGCTGACGGGAGGTCTTCTAATATGTTAGCCATTTTTACTTTCTTCGACTTATTTGGTTTCTTAGCAATAAAATAGACAATTTCCATTGGATAACAATTAGATAATCATAGATTAGTTGTGATGTAAGTTATAATTAAGTCTTTGTTGCACACGAGGAACCTTAAAAGATCTCACCCCTACTTTCAATGACTACTAAAGAGAGCGTTACGCTGCATGAACCCTGTTGAGAAGAGAAGTTCACTTGAAATCAACATATGTTTTAAGTGTCACAAATCACAATCCGTCTAATATTTTAAAGAAATAATACAGTCACACCACCGGTCACACCCCCTCTCTTTGCTACAGTGCGGGGGCCCTACTTGAGATTTTTTTAAAAATCTCAAGTAGGGCCCCCGCACTGTAGCAAAGAGAGGGGGTGTGACCGAGAGTGTGTTTGTAGCGCGACTCAATATTTTATGGCAGGTCAGATTGCTGGTATCCAAATTCCAACCAATTAAAATGACTTGTTGCAACCAAATATTTCCATGCAAAGTTGTACAATCTCCATCAAATTAAGTTAAATTTAAAATAAAAATAAAAAACACCCCGGTCAAGTCGAAGTTGGGTTGGTCTCCCAACGTACTCGAGTCAGTAGTGACTGATTTGTGACGACTAAAAAATGCTACTTGAAATTTGATACATATACTGTATTTTTTTATGCCGGAACAATGCCTACTTAAAATTTAGATTATTCTTTAGCAATTCTAGTGGCTTTTTAAGAAATTATGTAGCACGTTTTAAGATTTATGATTTAATTCATACAACTTCAGTTATATAACTTATTTCTTTTCTTTACAAAGTAAATTAATAATAGTAATCAGCTCATACTTCTACACATCTAATCATTAATAAGAATAACTAACATCACCATAAGCACCATAAGGTAGTTAATTTTGAATTTGAATCTTATTTCACTATATATATATAAAGTAATGTAGAGACCACTAATTTTTATCTCAATCTTTCGTTTTGTTTACTGAGTGATTGTAATTTATTCTAAAAATAATAGCATTCACTATATCCTCTATGAATTGGACACAGTTCCTAATTTGTGCTCAAAAACAAATAACAACCATTAGCTATGCAAATCAATGATTGTGATGAGAGTAGTGGTCTTCGTACTACATTTAGTTCCTCTTTGATTTCTAGCATTTTAACTTTTATAACATTTGAAAGCAACGCTGAACACTGTAGATGGTTTTCGATAAATTGTCATGTGTGAATTCTAAACTATCTCCATTTACATATGAATCTCGTGTGTGTTTAGCAATCCTCACAAAAAGGGTAAAACCTAATACGATTTTTTGAGCCAATACTAGCTCGACTTTGAGGGGCTGCGAAGCACGCCCCTGGCTCAGTAGGTAGAGAAGCCAACTCTATTGATCACCTACAAAATATTCCTTGCACATGGAAACGCTTAATTAGAACAAAATCTAATACGCACGTTACTTTATCTACATCTGCATGTTACACGATGATTAAGTTAATACTGACCTTAATAACTTGTCCCCCACGGCACCTACAAGACCGTCTCGTGAAATGAAGACAAACGTGAAACTTCGGTGTCACGCAAAGTTTTCAATGGATAACTTCTTTGATGCAAGCACTTTACCTTCGTGTACGGTGTAAATTGAGTTTTTCAATGGGGAACATTGCCAGCTTTAAATAATGAAAGTTTCTTGATATCCGTGTAGGAGAATGATGTAAGGCTTCGCCCTGCTAGTTGCAATCGTAATGAGCGTCGGAGTTGGCTAGTTTGAACCACGTATTCTCTGTTTTGTTACAGTGCATCGGGCCTCACATGATTATTGTGCGGATTAGTTTGGATTTGCCTTCGGTCAAGATTAAAAGTGCACGTTAATGTTTTACAAAAGTGGAACCTAATTAATTAAGCTCGGTTTAGTTTGAGATTTGATTATCACGTGCAAAGAGACAAGGGCTACAAGGAGCAAGGTCAATATGTAAACCTTAATGGGGTTGAGAGGATAAAGCTATAATTAGGCTAGAGAAGTAACGCACATGTGTGACGTGCATCCACTCAAAATTTCGCCGACTCCATTAGCAACTCTCTTTTTATCCATGCTTTGCAAAATTAGTATTAAATAATCACTAGACAAGAAAGCACTAGGTCTTTTCAGCAATTAAATAGGGACTATGTATCATGATTATTAAGATTTTTTAAGATTGTGATCCTAAGATAAGTACCAATCCTAACCCTTTATCTCACAAAAAGTAGCAAGATAACTATACGACTCCGAAAGGAAGCCATGATATATACAAGGAAAATGATAGGGACACATCCCCAAACACATCCCAAATCATACCCCCTCTCTCATATGCTACAGTGGACCGGACCTCATATGGAATTTTAAAATTTTAAAATCTCATGTGGGGCTCGGTGCACTGTAGCATATGAGAGAGGGGGTGTGGTTTGGAATGTGGTTGGGGATGTGCCCCTAGTGTCACCCTATATACAACTACAAAAGAATATGCATATTATGGTCATCTAATCAAATCAGATTAAATTAAATAAGACAACTGCCCTAACAAATTTGATGAGTAATTAGTTGGTTTTTTTTTCTCCTCTGCCCTCTTCATGCCTACAGGTAAAGCAAATCACTTGCAAGTTAGAACAAACAAATCCTTGGAATTGAAAGAAAATCATCAGCACTATGACTTTGTTCCACATGAACACCAA